AAAATTTCTATTTCACATTTTCTTATTTCACCAGATTTTGCAATTTGTATTAATTTCGCCGCCAACACACACACAAAACTGCTGCGTATGAAATCATAATTATGCTTCAATCAAACAAAATGTGTCAGACATATTAAAAATGGAAGAAAAAATATTTATACACGTAATAGTTGAAAGTCCACTACAATTACAAACCGTACAAAAAAAAAACACAACAACAACAATAGAAATACAATTCATTAGCTGCTCCACTTAAGTTTTTGTTCACTAATGCATATGCATTTTGAATGGGCACCTTTGCGAGTACTCGCATGTTGTGAATAAATAATAAACAACATCTGCACAGACAAAAACAAAAAGTTTCCTTTGGTTTCAATCTGCGCAACCGACTCCAATCTACGCGTGATTTTGTGTTCAATAATTAAATGGCATTATAGCAAATTACGAGTCAAAGTTTTTCTCAAACTGACAACGCAATATATCTGTGTTTATACACCGACAATCAGAAATAAAGGTTCACAGCAGATATTGCATAATTACACATGTTGCATATTCAATTTTGAAGTCATATTTAAATGCCTCTAATTAAGTTCGTTTAATTTACCGGAGTTTTCAACTGGCTAAAGATATTTCTTTTGCGCATGGATTTCGGACAAGACAATGAATTTGTATAAATAAAAACAATTTTTTTTACAGGGATTAATAATTCATACTACTGTGTTTGTACTTTAATATGTATATATTCACATACTAAATTGCTGTAATTACATGTATAGTCTATATAACTCATAAGAATGAGTAAGCTTATCAACTTCCAATACCCGATGCTTTATTATAGTTATAATATGTTATATAACTATAAGCTTACTAAAATATGCGTTTTCTTAAAGCAGCAACATTTTTCAAGGTTACAAGTTAAAAAAAAACTCAATCGCGAAATTTAAAATGAAAATCAAATATATTTTCTTGAAATTTCTTTGAAAAATATTTAGCGCAGGTAAGACCTGTATATTAGTACATATATTATATATACTAAATAAAATTATATCAAAATAACTTAGGATAGTTTACATCTAATAATTAATTTGGAATTCACTATTCGTACAATAAAATTTGTTTCTTCTGAACAGTCCTCCAAAACTGTTCGACAAAAGAGATTTTGGTTTTAATAATAAATAAATCAACGAAAAATATATTTAGCAATATTAAGGGGAAATAAAAACAGAGAAGCAATCACTATGAAAACTTCATATGATTTTCGAATGATTTATGTTTTTAAACTGATTTCTTGGTTCCTACAATACGATATGAATATCGGATTCCTCAATTAGTTCATCCTACACATTTAATATAATTCAGCTCTATTTTTTATATTTTATCACAAACACAAAAAGTACATATAGTGAACTTTTTTTATTTAATAATTCACAATAAAAATTGCTTTCAATGACGAACTAATTAAACATGTTCTCGCTACTTGTATAAGTGTTACGACTTCAAATCATTGATAAATGCTTAGGATCAAACACTTTTGTATATAAATAGACATATCTATAATATAGACGACCACAATATTGTGTAAAGTAATCGCCACTACTCACTTGAGTAACCCAGCAAGCGGTATTTTTAATAACCGCTATTCACTAAACACTATTATAGAATGTTTAATTGTAATAAGACAGTAATTGCTAAGCCTGCCACTTTGGCTTTTTATAGACACATTAGCACAATAAGAATCAAAATAGATACATACACACAAATGCATAAAGAAAGGCATATTAAAGCTAAATATACCAAGCGGCGCACAATGTTGCAAGTCTCTCTAATACAAAAACATTAATTTACTGTTTATTAATTAATATATATGTATGTTTTATATCCAAATCTTGTATCTACATATGTAAAACACCATGCACACAATACATGGACACAACTTGGGCTTGACTACACACTTGAATGCCATGTCGATTGTTGATTGCCGAAAGCGCTATTATAATGAAATGGATTTACGATAAAAATTATTGCATTAACAATTTTTGTGACCTTCACCGACTTAAGGTGGACGAGTTAGTTACCTTTACTGTTGGAATGAGCGCGCTAAGCAAACAAAACAGTCATCGGTGATGGTACTATGGAGCCATATTATACCTATGTATGTACATGTATATAAATATTTATGATTAAATATACACGCATGCGCACGATGGCAGCGGCAACGACGTGTTGAGGAATAAAACTAATGACAAATATTAGAGTCGGCGTTAAAATCAATGCGCATTCCAAAGCCAATGCTGAAGTCAAAGTCGTTCGCTTTAAATTAATAGCGAAAAAAAGCTTCCTCCATAGAAAAACCTAAAATAAATGGTGTTATTCAATTTTATTGATTTTGCTAGTAAATCAAAAAATTGATGACACTTTGACATAGTTAACAAGGCATAAAACAGACTTGCTTAAACATATGTATGTACTTGTATATTTATATATATATACATGTATGTGTATGCTTGCAATGAGATATTTTAAAAGTAAATTGTTTGTTGTGTGCAAAATGGCATAGCAGGTTTTCTGATACGAAGATTATCGGCTAATTGCATGACTGACAGCGGTTTTGGGTTTGATTGCTTCTAAGGGTAACCTTTTGAATAGAGGAAATAAAATTTTGGAACTTATAAACTCCGATTGAACACTTCCGCAATTCAGCTTTAACCAGTTGACAGAGTTGTGCTGATTAACGTATTTTCGATTGGTACTTACGTCATTATACATATCATAATACATTTTGAATTTTTAAGAAAGTAAAATATATATTGGCTGATTAACAATTTTCGTAAAAATTTCTTATGCTATCAATTATGTATTATATTATGTTAAGTTAAGTTACGATATTTTTTGTTATGTTACGTTATGTTATGTTATATACAATTAAAAACGTTAACATCGGTTATGAAGCAACTTGACGCCCTTCACAAATATTGTAAAATGTTTTCATATAGAAACATGATATTGATCGATCAGTTTGTATGATAGCTCGTATTAGCTATAGTGGTCCCATCTAAACAATTTATACCATTGTCAAGCCAAATTTCGTGAAGATATCTTGTCAAATAAAAAAGTTTTCCATATAAAGAAATGTTTTTGAATGATCAGTTTGTATGACAGCTACATGCGATTGCGGTCCGATATCGGCATTTCCGACAAATAGGCAGCTTCTTGAGAGTGAAAAGACGTGTGCAAAATTTCAGATCGATATCTCAAAAACTGAACGACTAGTTTGCGTATATGCTAAATCGAATGAGTTCGTCATGCTGATCAGTAATATATATTGTTTGTAGGGTCTCCGACTTATTTACTTATATGTTTACTCTACAATTTTCGTACCCAGCTCTAAATTTAAACATAACTGAACTTTTTTTAATAATTTTTTTTTTTGGATATTTGTATAATTATGCAAAAATTTATTATCAGTACAATTGTGTATATATTTTTTAGAAAATTTTCTAATACTTTATAACCTCGTTAAAATGATCCATAACTAGTTGATGCCACATTAAATTGTTTATTTGGCTCACTGTATATATCCAATAGAAAATTATACAAGATTACATTTTAATAACCAGTTGTGGTAAATTTGACATTGTGAAATTTTCTTTTAGCTCGTGCGCTCAGCTCATGCCAATGCAATTAACGCTAATCAGCGGTGCAAACTTGCAAATTATTACCCACAAATGAACCTCACAAATTAAAGTTGCACCATGCCAGCTGTCAAAGTGTTCATTTTCAAAGTTGGCAATGCTATCCTTGCAATAGCGTCCCTTTGCGAATAAGCGCCTAACATCCCTATAATGATGGCGATATAATTTCTTAATGACAACAGTATGAATATACATTTCTATTAGAATAAGCTATAAATATTGATCGAAATGCTATTTTAAAAAGCCTTGCAAAGGTGACTTCTGTACACACATAACATTTATAAATATATAAAAATTATTTAACTATTTTATTGTGACTATTGTTTTGTTTCTGTTAAACAATGTGGAGAGTCTCAATGTGTCACTGTTCAATGAACTTGAAAGCTGATTGCCCACAACGTAGTGGTATTTGCCGAGGTTGTTGTTTTCAAAACAATTTGTTGGTTTGGTGTGTCACGAGATACACCGATTAGTTGGCTGATGCAGTCGCATTTATATACGATATACATTTATATATTTACTTATTTATATATAAATGATTGAATAAAGCTATTAACCAAGAAACGTGACCTTTTAAATGAACTGATTGCTACCATCAAGTGCAACAGATGTTAAAAGAAACAAGAAAAGTGTTTATTCGGCTGCATCGAATAATAACATGATTATTATCTTGATTTTTTGATTTCGATCGAACAATTTGTACAGAGATTTTAGCGCTGTCTAGGAAAATAATCTTGGCCAAAGTTCGTAAAGATATCTCATCAATCTAAAAAAATTGCTGTACAAGGACTTGATTTTTATCGTTTAGTTTGTATGGCGGCCATATATCAAAGTGCTCTAATATCAGCGACTATGACAAAAGTTTTCCTTTAGAAGGTAGATGCTGTAGAGCTAGCTGAAGACGTTGTCCTTGTATTGAATTGCCTAAATTATATACCCACCGTACTCTCTCAATGAACTATTATCTCATTCGCTCCAACTTTTCTTATTAAAAATATACGTGCATTTAAATGAGCAGAAATGATAAGAGCAGCTATTGGTATACAACAAAAATAATTTTGATTAACAAAAAAAAACATGTACTCAGTGTAATCGGTGATTATGAAAAGTGATAAATTACTGATTTATTAAAATTATGAATATATTATATAATGAAAGCTGCCGATCTAAGGCAACTTTTTAATTCCTCCCTTCGATGGACAAATACATATTCAATATAAACCAGAAATAAAAATATTACAATTACTATTATATTATTTCTTTCATTGTTTTTAAGTTTTAACTTACGTCTTACCTCTTACCTTGTAGGAAATAGATGTTTTGACACTTGGCGCCAAAGATCAGGAACAAATAATTGCTGAACGAAATAAACGAACGATTGGTCTACTGCGTGAACTGTTTCCCGACATCACAAAGGTATATTGATACTTTCATTTAATATTTCAGTGGTATAAACTACAGACATCTATAAATGTCTACATAAGTATATTGCTCATCAAACACTTTTGATAAATCAACATTTTTTATCATTTTAATAAGCATGCATAACTTATTTACTTATAACTTTATCAATACAAGTATAACTTCTGTATAGGAAGAATAGTATGTAAGACACATGAAAGAATCATCAAGCAAAGCATCGCCTTCACTAATTCTTTGTCTACTTACGTAAAGTCGTGGCCAAACAGACGCATTCCGTTGCGCATAATAAATAATAATCTACAACAATAACTAGCACTGTCCGCACTGACGTATCTGTCATATTGACAATTGTGACGACAGCTTTTGTCAATTGTTAGCGCTGGAATGACAAATAGTTATTTCACTTGCTCACTCTTCCAATAGCATACTAACAAATGTTATTTGAATTCTTCATTAAACATATTACGTACATATAATTTTTACCTTTATAAGCATTGGATGTGTGAAAATCGCTGTGCTGATGATCCCCCTATAAGTTTAAGGAAATAAGTAGAAATACTCGTAGTGTCATAAAACGAGGTGTGCTTGCTCGTGAGCTTGAACCTGACGAGAATAAGCGTATAAACAAAGAACACTCCTTTCAGCAGAAATACAGTGGTTATATAAATTTGTAAGTATGTAGCTTTCTGATATAGAATATAGTAGGTTTTACTTGCATAATTTATGGAAAAACCCGAAAGTAAGTGTAGAGAAGAGACTTGGTCGCGTGTGAAATTTGTAACTCCAGGTTTTATTTGGAGGTCAAGACTCATTTAACTAAAGCAGCTTGACACTTCTTTGCTGCTTTATTGTTTATGGTTACAAGGATAATAAAAATATATTAATCATTTACAAACTATCTTACAATAAGTTGTCTCTACAGTTTTAGAGCAGATGATTATTTTTTTAATAAGTTCATTTTGTTTAAATATTCGAGGTCTATTTTCGAAGAGCATCTACTAGAAAAACACCTTTTTCAATAGAATAGATTCTGCAGCCGCGAGGCTCTTTTAGCCCTTATTAATTTACTTCTTAATATTGAAGTCAGGTATTACGGCTTGTACGCGGTAAGGAGATCATGCTTGGAAAATTTTAATCCTAATTTTAGTGATACTATAATTCCTGAAACGAATAACAGATAATTCACTTTATTCTGAATATATGTATATAGAAATATGTGTTCATCATTTCTGAAACATCTTTGATTGTAGGCAGAGAATTGGTTTTTGTCTTAGCGCATAAGTACCAATACCGGGAAATATGCCTAATTGAGCAGACGAAACTCTAAAGCTACGACGTACCCCAGACTCGAGACTTTTAGGCCCTGCAACTACTTGTGATTACGCTATGTGGTAGGAAGCTTACCAAAGTAAAGTTCGCTGCTATAGAAAGTGAGGTTAACCAATTTCTTACTAGCTTTACTCTATACTCTGATGGAATATTTACCTCTCTGAATGATACATTAAATCGAAGGAGTTGCTCTGGTGTACATACTGATCCGAATAATCTGAAAGAAGGCCGCACAAAAATTTCAGAGTCTGCATTCTGAGATATATGTATCTATATATGAGACATAGTGCTACTCAGAATCACTACCCTGCCAGAATTTCAAATGTCACAAATACATATAAGAAGCGCTCGTTGTACACGTTCAAGCTCTTTTGCTAGTATAACCTTCTTTAGCACCTTCGATCTTACATGGCTCTCCTGCAGACGTATAAGACACTATTTTCTTAATAATAAATATAAGGCTTTTACGAAAGTTTCTAGTCTAGTATGTAATATATAAGTTCTCATCAGCGGATTGAAGATTTTCATTCAAGTCGAAAGAAAGTATTATTTATAAAAGTTCCGTTGGACTTTAGCGACTTAACTAATTATAATTATTATAAATATATATTTGAAACAATATTCTTTATTCTTACAACACTAAAGACACAAAACGACAGCGTAAACCAGAATTTGTGAATATACATAAAAAATAACGTAAAATGAAATATTTTACATATAATATTAAAAATAATATATTTCTAAACCAAAAACAGATTTTACCGAAATTGGCAGATTTCCTTAAAGGCCCCAATTCCTCTCCTGCTTTTAGTTTTGAAGATTTGACATGTTAATTCTTAATTTTTTTTCAACTCATATGGATAATTCACTTCTACATGCAGACCATTAATGAAGAGGTCAATCGTTTTGTAAATCGTTTACTACAAGAAGTGGGCCCAATAATACTGGGAACTGTGCTCAACCCAACCTTGAATGCTGGGCGCCGTACCAACAATACTGCTGCGGTAGATTTAAACGATGATGCAGAGAATGATAATGATAATAATGCTAATAGTGCTGACTCAAATACGAATGACACCGGCTTCAATACCGATGATTTTAACTATGAAAATGGAGCTGACGGAAGCGCTACTGAAGACGACTCAGATGAAATACCGGAAACAGTATTCGTGCCAGATGCTGAATTTGGACGAAAGAAAAAATCTGAATAATATAAAAAATCGCTTGAGCGAAATAACAATAATTGAGTGCTGAAAAGGAAGACTAAAATACGAAGCTCAAATGAGAATAATCAGAAAGTATTAATACCATAATTTAGCTTTAAGGAAGTGTCAATAAAAATACTGGCAACACCAACTCTGACACACACACCATACCAAACAACATACCAAGTACTCGTAGTATATACAGACCATTATATTTTTGGATTTTTAAGACTTTTGTTATGTGTTATTAGTTAAAATGCGCAATTTCTGTGTGTATTTTGTTTTTGTAAGAAATTGAGGTTAATTTCCAATAGATGCGAATTAGAACTTACTTACAGTATGTTGGAAAGGCACGCTTTTGTTCAAAGCTTGTAAAAAATATATAATTATGCTAAAATTTTGAATGCTTTGCTTAGCTGCTTTCAAGTTTTGCTACATTTTACACAACAAACTACAGTTATGTAAGTCGATTTTGTAGGCACTATGATTCACATTAAATTATAATGTGCTCATAATAACACTCTTTGTTGGAAATATAGTTAAAATATATTGAAAGAGCTAGAAACCTTATCCATTAACCAAGTAAAAATGAATTCGCGACTCCGTTGAAATTTTGGCTCAGCTAGACGAGCTACTTTTAATATTATATTATTTTATTTAAATATACTTTCGATTATATAACTATAACTACTTTCCGCTAAGCGAACTAAAAAAAACTCTCATCAAATAGTTGTCATACAAAACAAAAAATTGTTTTATAAAAATATATTTAAAACGATAACCTAATTGGCTTGTAATCAAAAGCGCTCTCGCTCTCTCATAACATACGCATCGACCCAGGATTATAATAACAACGAACTCATTCCAGAATCCAAATTCCGTTCATCTTCAGAAATTCAAACCGTAGCCGACTCACAAAGTAGTATCTTTTTTTCTGTTGCTCTTTCTGAATTTATGCACTATTCCCCTTCCCTTTATAGCAAATCGACGACATAGTTAATCGCATTATAGGCCAGGTTATACGTGTTGCCGGACCGAGTTTACTGCCAGCATTGCTCGGCAATCGACCCACGACCGAACGTTCAGACTTCGATGACGATTTTGAAGATGACGATGACACCAGCAATGATGTTAGTTCTCGGGATGGTAATAGCGACGGTACCAGCACAACTGCTGGGAAAAATGGAAATGGTGGGTCGCGTGTAAGCATTGCCTTGCCAACTTTTCCACCAGAGAGTGGTTCTACTACTCAAACGCCACCAGCTGCTTCAGATAATGTGAGTTTAGAGCAAGCAACAACTGGCATTGCAGCATCAACATCAACAACGACAGCAGCAGCAATTACAACAATCGCAACAACAACGCCTGCCACCACAATTACAACTGTGGCAACCACCAGTACCCAGAAAACAACTGAATTGACAACAACTACCAGTCGGCCCGTTGAAACTCCCACCACTTTACCAAGTACAATAACCACCACTGCCAGCGCAACTAGCCCAATTACCATTCCTACGCCCACACCAACGATCCTTTCACCAACAACATTACCCTCAACAACTGTTGATTCCATTCTTGTTATACCTAGAGTTAAAAGTCAAAGTAGAAATAATGTCATTCCAACCGAAATAAATAGCAGTACTGTCAATCCAACCACAGAGTTCACCGAAAATACCTTTAACACCGTCACCACACCCACACCTCCCGCTCCTGCCGAAACCGCTCCAACAAGACAATATCCTACCGATTCTCCATCAATATCCGATATTTTAAATACACCACCCAGAACAAACACAATTGGTAGCGAAACACTACCAACACCTACAATACCTGCCACCTATATAGGTAGATTTGAGGGTGATGTAGCATCACCCGCCACATCACAACAACCATCATCATCGAATGCGTTGCCGTTGGCTGTTGATGTTGATCGATCACAGCTTGTTGCTTTAGTCGACAATATAAATCGTTTATTGAATTCACCAAATCTTCTTATTACCAATAGCAATAATCTAAATACACCACAATTCACGACAACAACAAAACCAATCACAACAACGCCTTTAAAAGCAGTTTCAACACAATCATCAGCGTTAAATTCAACTGCGAATATTACTAAACTTCTACCGGTGGCCAATTAATTGGAAACATAGAAAAATAAACAAGAAATACCTATCAGCAACTATCACAAGTACAAAACTTAAATCACTACAACAACTAATATAACTGGCAGCAATAATGCGAACACATGTTGGAAATTTCCGTTATGTAATTGGCTAATATAACTATATACAACAACAACAACAATATCTTTACACAAGCGAATGTATAGAGAAAAAAAACAACAACGAAATCAGCTAATCAACAACAGCAACACATTCCACAAACTAAATGCATCAGTGCATAAATAAGTAGCTCGCTAGTTCACCACGATCGTCAATTTCCTCTCAGCAACTATATCGTATTGTAATATCGTACGTTACATATTCTTATTTACCGACGTTGTAGTCGTTTCATATTCTCACCACATCTACAATTCACCAACGATATACAAACATATATACAAATAGTTACATATATAAATATGTATATATGGTTGCTTATGTTGTTGGTTTAGTTATGTCATTGAAGAAGTTCGTTATCTTCAGTGCACTTTCATCGTTTATTACTCCCTAAAAAGCCCTTGATTTATTGGTGTTGTAGTTTTTCCTCTCATTAAGGTTCCTGTGCACTCATCGTAGATCATTTTTGTGCGTGTTTTACATTTATGTGGCACCATTTCCGGTTTTATTCACAAATTGAAGGCATTGCCGTTTTGTAGACATATGAATCCTTGTATTGAAATTTACTTACCTATATACGTAACGTTGGCATACTAATAATACTCAACTAAATAACCTATACTCGTATATACATACATATATGTACGTGCTGCAAAAAAATTTATATATTCTTGCAATGAAAATTATTACTTATATGACTTAAAATAATTAGAATAGGAAAGGTATTGAAAATCAATCATAGCTCCTTAAGACAGACAGAAAACGATTCTGTAATCAGCTATGCCACAACCAGATATTTTGGTGAAAAAGCCGTTAAAAGAAATCTTACATTAGTTAGAGAACATCTTACATTACTTGTAGAGCTAACAAGAAATCTTAAGGAACGATCCTGTAACAAGTAGCATTAAGTATTCATGAAAATTCTGGAAGAAGTTTTTATACAAATTCTACAACTTACTTTTTAAGCTTATCTTGCCTTACCAACCAAAAATAAATATGAATGGTCATAACAGTGCCGCTATTAAATGCTTTTCTAGAAAATTAATGAGTCCTTCAGCACTTTAAGTATTGCAAAATATAACAAATGGTCAATAGAACATCGCTTCAGCACTAAATTGATTGCTAAGCCCTCAAACAGCTGAAGGCTTTCAAATATTTTTTTGGTTAAACAAATATTATGAACTCGCACCCAACAAGACAACAAACTTTAAATTTAGAAAACTGTCTGAATAAAAATTATTCTTGAAGGTTTTCCTTTTATATATGGTAAAAAATAAATCTTATGAATCTCAATAATTGCCGAATACTATACATTATTTGCAGCGCTAAGTAAATAAGTAATATAACCTCTGAATATTTCGTAACAAACCAGTAACTAAAATACAAGAAAGTATATAAAATCTATATAGTATATATGTATATCATTCATCCTCATACATTGCCGTAAATCGTCAGCAAAAGGCATGAGAGTTTTCATAATTCAGAAAGAAGCAAAATTTGGTAAAAATATGTATTATATTGAAAATTTTGAAAAGTTTTCTTGATTTTGCATTGTAAAATTAAAATTCTTAATATGGTTAGTGACCATTGAGAAAGGGAAATATTTTTAACACCTTCCTTATCTCATTCGTAAATATTGTTTTTAAAAACTTCGTGTCTTAACGGTTGTCTCCTCTACTTTATATACACAATAATTGCACCTACATTTTGCACATACTATTTCTTTGGTCTAACTGTCCGCATACGAGAAAAGAGTGGGCACCTAAGCATGATCTTTTCATTACTTGTTTGAAATTTAAAAAAAAAATATACCCTATGTTTCTTACCAAAAATCAAAACACGATTCGAACCGTCACTGACTGTGCTGTTGTTGTAGCAAATCGATGATCAAGTGAATCGTATAATTTCGAAAATACTGCGCACATTGGGGCCCACTGTACTGCGTACCGCCGTGCAAGGTAACACCGCAAACCGCGCACGCACCAATTTCGACGCCGATTTTGACGATGATGATGACAGCAGCAGTAGCAGCAGTAGCAGCAGTAGTAACAGTAGCAGCAGCAGCAGCAGTGGCTCTAGCCTTAGTTCCAGCAACGGCAGTGGTACACGCGTCTCCATTGAGCTGCCAACTTTTGCGCCGGATGAAGATGATGAGAATAATGAGGTGGGCAGCGCAGACACTTCCAGCGGTGTAGCGACATCTACTGGCAGCACGAAATGTGAGTGGGCGTGTGCGATTAAGTATTGTTTTACTATGTAAAAAAATGTACTGCAAGTGTAGGGCGCATACACTTTGTGCGGAATGTAATGCAACAGCTGTCAATTTGACATTTCGTTTAACGGTTGAATTGACAGTGGCGTGCGCCTATGTAACGCAAACGTTACTACTTTGCAAAATACTTAATTTTAATGCATTTTAAAATTCGAATTTTTCAAATTCTTTTATTTTTTTTTTATTTAATTGTTAACAGAAATGCAAAATTCTTGAATTTGATTGTTAACGAATAATTGGCAACAACTAAAACGAATTGGCAACATAAAATTAGTATAAAAATTTTTAAAATTAATATATGCATCTAAACAACAACAATTGCAAGGCAGCGTACAACTTTACACCAAACCAACAACACACGTAAAACGCATGGAAAATAATAATTGTAACTATGAAGACGGTCGATGCTACAACAGACGCAACAACTGTCAGTCTAACACTGAGAGAAATTACTAAATTAATATACTTTAATGTGTGAAAAATAAAAACTACTTACTTTAACTTTACATAATTTTCTTTTACTCTTCCACTATGTCTTTAATTCTCATTTGAATGTCTTTTCCACCATTCACTTTAACTAACTATTTATTAACTTTAATACATGTCCAGCGTGTCTAGCAGCATCTATACTTGTTCTCTTTGTATGTACGAGCGTGTGTTGTAAATTTTCATTAATCATTTTATAAGTACTTTCATAAAAGACGGTCATTTGAATTGTCATAATTATTGCAAAACTGACAACTTTATTTTCCCTATTTTCACTCTCACGCAAATACTCTCTTGTATCGCTCCATATGTTTCACTATCTCGCATTGTCGCTCCCAAAAACTGTTGAATATTTATGAAACTTTCAGTATAGTTAAACCGAGATTGCACACGAAGACTTTTATTGTTTATAATCACACGGACGGCATTTTTAAAAATTAAATTTTTTGCATTCCTTTTCATATCACTTATTCAAATTCTTGTATGCTTCAAGTACACGGTGCACAAAAATATTTACATACAACTACAAAAAGTAGATATTAAAATCAAAATTTCGAACATATTGAAAATATACATTTAAAACTGAGTGCAATTGCAACCATGGAAAGTATTTTAAAATGAAAAGGAATGTCAGATTGCGTAACAGCGAACTGTTACGAACTAAAGCACGAATGTCTTTCCTCGTCGTCCCCTTACCTACAAAAAGTACAGTTTAGGTGACAAAAATTTTCGTGTGTGAACTCAGTCTAAAAACATAGGTATTAATGGAATAAAGTTTTAGCGCAATGAGGTCTGTATATTTAGCAAAATTTACTTTGGAAATATATGATAAAAATTATGCGACAAGCTTTCTTATGTAAATGTATGGCTTATCAGCACTACAGAAATTTATGAAAATTCTGCAGAGCAAAATATTAAAATCGTGGCTTGGTTACATTACAGACTTTTTTAGTGTAGTTAAGAAGTTTGCAAGGAATCGCTTTACTGTATAGCCTACGAAATTTCTTATAACAGTAGATTATGAAGAGAAACGCTGATTGAATATAAGAAAAAAAAATTTTTATCAAGCGTTCTTTAAAGTGCTGCTCCGACTTTTGAAGTTAATTGAAGCTAGTACTCATCATCTACTGTCATATATATTTGCACTTATGTTATACATATGTGGCATAGTTTTTTTTCCATATATTAATAAATGGTAGGCATCTATGGAAATTATTTTGTTAATTAATTGGCTTAAAACGAAATTTCATAATTCTCATGCTTTTTGTTTTTCTCTTTTTCTTTCTATTTACTTTCATATTTACGCATACCATGATTCGAACTGTGAAATAATCCACCAAACACCCACACACCTACACCCAAAAAAAAAATTGAATAAATCATAAATTAAACGCATAAAATTTTCAAATGAAATTGTGCATTTTAATTTGGAACTTTGAAATGGCAACAACAAATATTCTGCAATAAAATTACAAAAACTATAAATTGCAAAATTTTTACAAATTTCCACAAAAAAAAACTATAAAAATATCACTTGCACGTGCATCTTTAAAAACCGTTCACAAATTATTTTTATTAACTGTAAATACTGTACGCTAAAACTTCAAAACACTACATCTGTCCTGCTCGTATTTGCACTTATGACTGTCGCACTTTGCTAATGCTTTTATTAAATCAAATATCTCACCCACTTTCATAACTTGTTCTACACAACCTTTTTGCCATACTATATCTATGACTTATCCTGGACAAACACTTCACACAACAAACGCATCATAAATTACGCCACACACACATATACATACACCTATCCTTCAACGCGCTCTTGTATATTCTCTCACTATCACACTTTACTATTTCTCTATGATAAAAAAAAACATTGCACACTACAATAAAAACACGTACACGCAAAACCCACAAACAACAAATAATAAACATGATAAATCAAACAAATTCAAACGAACCACATTCGGAAAATATCCACTTCGATAAATCTTTATCGCTAACTTTCTTGCCACAATCATTCAATAAATATACGATCACAACATAAAATAAATTTTAAAAAAAAAACAACAACAAAACTGGGTTGGCCATTACCAACAAAAAATTTGCAATTAATACGTAATTTAAACGCAATTCGAACCACGGTGTTGCGATGTCGTTGAAAATCTTTGCCACAAAACCCAGAATGGTGCAACCGATACACAAATCGATTTATCGGCCATAAATAAACAACTTGAGGAGACAATACGAGTGGCACGACAAGTAAAGGAAGCTGAGGCTGCGGCACAAGCTATTGCCCAACAACAACAACAGCAAACCCCATCATCGCTACCAGCACAATTGCCGATACCAAGCAAAACCGATCCCAATGCGCCCATTCAGTTGAGTTTCAACAACGAAGCTCGTGACAGCTCAAAGCCCGTCAATAATGATCTACGTCTGACCGAATCGAAATCCCCGGCCATTGATGAGCTCACTTTGGACTCCAATGAGGACGCAGCCGATTTAGATGACCGTAACAAGAGGTAAGTCTTATGAGTTCTCCATTAATGGTGAGTATTTGAAGTGAGCGAACTGCATGTTATGTTGTGAGAGCTATTGTAGACTCTGAGCTCTGAGAGGGAACAATTTGGGAAACTTTGATCTAACACATTCGAACCGCTGGAGAAATTGGCAGGCTCTGAATTCTCTCGAAAACAATAATAACAAGTTAATAAGTATGATCCTTTAAAAGTTTTTGATTAAAGTGAAATACATATGTAGAAAAAATTTATTTACCAATAGCTCGGAGTCTTACGATATTAAGTATTACTATACATAGTCTAGTTGATACAACCACAGGACCCTCATAATAAATTGTTAGATCTATTTCTTGATTTCATTCTTTTGCATAAAGTTAGTCACTAGGAATTGAAGTAAAAGTCTTGCTGGTATTGCTCAGTTTTTATAAGAATGCTATTGACGTGGGGAACCAAAAGCTTGTGGTTCATTTGTATATAGCGCTAATAATAGGTTGTCAAATATCTCCCTTCCGCTTTTTTGCTCTTCATTCAATGCTTTATAAAAAGTGTTACGGTGATCGGATTTAGTTAAAATATGCGCCATTTTGTTCGATGATCTGTTTCCATCTAGACGGCAACTTTATAATACCTTCCTCGTAGAAGCCCCCCTCCTTATTTGCGAAGAATTCGGACAGCCACTTTTCACAAGCCTTTTTTGAGTTCAACTTCACACCACCAAGGGCATTCGCCATGGACAGGAACAGGTGGTAATCACTTGGCGCTACGTCCGGGCTATATGGTGGATGCGATAAAACCTCCCATACGAGCTCCCGTAGCTTCTGACGAGTCATCAACGAAGTGTGTGGTCTGGCGTTGTCCTGGTGGAACACTACACCCTTCCTGTTGGCCAATCCTGGACGCTTCTGGTCGATCGCCTGCTTCAAGCGGTCAAGTTGTTCGCAGTAGATGGTAGAATTAAGCGTCTGGCCATATGGGAGCAGCTCATAGTGGATGATTCCCTTCCAATCCCACCAAACACACAGCAAAACCTTCCTGGCCGTCAATCCCGGCTTGGCCACTGTTTGGGACGATTCACCGGCCTTCGACCACGACCGTTTTCGCTTGATATTGTCGTATGTGATCCATTTTTCGTCGCCAGTCACTATCCGCTTCAAGAATGGGACGAGTTCGTTCCGTTTCAGCAGCATATCGCAAGCGTTGATTCGGTCCAGAAGGTTTTTTTGCGTCAAATTATGCGGCACCCAAACATCAAACTTTTTTTTGTATCCAGCCTTCTGCAGATGGTTCAAAATGGTTTGGTGACTAACTCCCATCTCCTGGGCGATGTCACGAGATGCCATATGCCGGTCTAACTCGATGTATTCCATGATTTGATCGGTATTTGTCGTCACAGGTCTTCCGCCGGCTGGCTTATCCATGGTGTCGTTTTCACCGGCTCTGAATCGTCGTAATTATGTATAGTGTCGCCAGATATGAGCTCTGTAGCGCTTTGTACATAGCCGCGAAATTCAAAAGACAAAAAAGCGGAAGGGAGATATATGACAATCTATACATAGATGCGTTTCCAGTTGTAAATATTAAAATACAATAAGGGACTCTGTTTGCAAATCATACCATTTTCCTGATGCAAGAAAGCCTCAAGGGTCTCTTAGATATTCCACAAATATAATTTTGCTTATTAACCTTTCCGTTAAGTTGGAAATTTGGAACATCGCTGTTGATGATCTGTCGGTGAGTTTTGGAAACAAATCAGAGCAATTTTCTAATGTTATTCCGATTTGCATTTTTTCGCCGAAACATACTGCTGCAAACGTCAGGCATATGAGTTCATTTTGACAGCTGGTTTGCGCTATCTCTTTAGTAATTTCTATACCTCCAAAGAAACAACCTACATATATAATATATGTACCTTGCAGTTCAGCTCTTGTATTCACCATTAATTTTTTACTTTAACTGTATATAAGTATGTATGTACACTTGATCAAACCAATTGGCTGAACACGTACAATTAACGCCTAAACATCAAACTTCATACATCTACAAAAAAGCATGAAAGAAATTCTGGTAACACAAAACACACTAACCAATATGAAAAAATTTCAAAAGTAATTTGTTCAAAAGGTTCCTGAGCTTCGGTGGAGCCGGAGTAGCGGGCGGTTCAAGCGGCAACACTGGTAATGCCGCACCTAATGGTGGTTCGGGAAATTTCCTCTTCGACATCATACGCGTGAGTTAAAATATAATATTATAGCCGTCCATCTTCCTACATAGACAGCGGTTAACTCTTACTCTACTAACGCATATATTTTCTACCAAACAGCTGTTCTCAGGCAGTGTTCAAACTCAAGCTGGCGATGAGGCGGCTAACAGCGCCAACAGTGTGAGTGGCGGCGGTGATGCCGATGGTGATAGTGATGCGAATCGTGCTGCCGATGGCTACACGGAAGGTATTCCCGGACCCGTTACACGATTGGTTGTGCTGGCAAACAGAGGCTTGGCCAATCTGATACAAGATTTGATATTGGTAAGTTAGTTAATCCTGCGAATCGCGCTGTAAAGCAGAAATGGAAGTATTAAACCAAATTTATCTTAATTTCCAGCGTATTGCGGCAACCAGCGAGAAATTCGTCAACTTCAAGGCCAAGCTTATCACAGCGCTTATCTAAATACACACCAGTTAGCAGCTACAGCTGTCGTCATATCACAAAAAACTGCCTTTGCCCATGTTCAATACTCTTACAACATTTACATACACGCACATACACAGTAAGAAATCGCTTTAGCAAACTCATAAATTAGTTGAAATTGGAATTGCCATTATATCAAACAAAAATCATTGCGGGGCAGCTGAAACATATACGAAAAACCGTCAAAAACTATTATTGTAAACTTGTAATATGTAGAAAATTAATACTTATAAATGCATACGATATGTTCGCATCGCCAAAAGCAACATTCATGAAATGCTTATGCGCCAATTACATAACCTTAAAACTACCGGCAAGAATGATAAAACTGAAGCGTAGTCAAAAACAATCTAACTACAAAACATAAATACACACAATAGATATGTTATATTCCTAAGAGTGTATCTTTTCTCAATGAACTTAGCGGTGATAGCAAGTGAATAAAAAATTTACATAACTTGTCAAACGAACTTTCATGTGTTCGTAAGCTCACATGTAAGCTTGTGCAAAAAATTGTGGTTGCGCCAGATTTTCCCAGCGTAGATACAGGAATGCGTTGTAATGAGGCGCACAGCTAAAAAATTTAATTGATATTATTATTAGTGTTTATAATGGCTATTACTTCATTTACTTTTCTCAACTTTTTTTAATAATTCAACACAACTACAACGTCTATTGTATTTTATGTACATACAAATTCCTTTCTTTATACTATTGTTTACTCCTTTTATATATACCTTTATGAATGAAACATTAATTGACTGTGGTGTTTAAATAGCTACTTTATTTAAATTGTATTTTTTTAAGGTTAAAAATCTTAAAGAAAAAATCGCAAAGCTCGACCTACTTGCAACACTGATAGTGTTTGCGACAAAAGCGCATTACTTGTCAAAATTCTCCTGCTTTATAAATGTTGTTAATTATTATTTGGCATAAATAATTTACGAAATCCTATATATAATTAATTTAAGCATTTTTATTTACATATACATATGTGGTTTTTAGTTACTCATTACTTCTCTTAATTTTAAAACGATTACTTTACGTTTTTGTACAGAATTTTATTCAGCATTTTAAGCAAATTTAAAACAAAAATTAATTATAAATGGTTAACATGCAAATATAAGCTCTTAACTCGTCACGTACAAGTTACTACCAACTAAGAGTTACTAAAAGTGTATGTAATTGTATAATCATGTGGATCATTTGTTAAATACATATAGAGAATATAAAAAAACGTGTAAATTTTGTACTGCAAATATTAGCGTACTGTTCAGAAAATATTAACTTTCTTTAATTCGATGTACATTTGCCTGTAAATTTAATTTTGTAAATAAAAGTACGTAAGTAAAAATAATACTAAAAACTTGAAGTTTTTCTGCTGCTATTAAGGCGACTATGACCTTTTTGACAATGACGTACAGTGTGGCGCTTCCGAAATTTGCCGTAAGTTATAACTTTGATGCCTTTAGAAGGCCCATTGTGATACCACCGAGACTAAAATCCCCTCATATAATTTTCTCCTCTCTAACACAGTCCGTGCTTCTGCTGAAGTTCATCAGTACAAAAAGTTTAATCTGAGCAATCTCCGAAATATCGTCAAGAAACCCTCGATCGCTGGTTGCTATTCTTTTTCTATAGAGAGCTTTACATTTGCATAGAAGATGTTCTATAGTCTCTTCTTCTTCTACTTTCTGACAGCTTGTACAATAGTCGTTATATCGCGTTCCTAGTCTGCGTATATACATACTTGTATATACGAGTACATGATATATATCGTATATTCCTCGTTGTGAGCACACTACTTGTCTGAACAAGAAGTCTTCTTTTAATTGCTGTGATCTCCGCTCGGAAGGCACTTTGCTTTCCATGAAAGCTTCATGTCTAAATTAGTCCCAAGTAGCTTGCTCTATCCCCTATTGTAAGCCTGGTACCATTTAATAACGGTGGCATAACTTCTGGAGTTTTCTGATTTTTAGTGAACAATACTACCTCTGTCTCCGTCGTAGCGAATCTAGAACTGACTAAAACACTTCAGCTGGCTGAAACATACATAATTACAACCTGAACCGCTAACGTATATACACTCGAACTAAAGTACAGGCTAGCGAGCTCAGTAAGTAGTCATCAGGAGCCTCACACATGGCCCCATACATGCGATTTTATACTAGAATAACAAACACCATAGACCAATCTTTGGCGCCAAACTACAATGTATACAAAATAATACAATACTTGGAGTTTATTCTGTTGAGAGATGTTACATCAGTCTATAATATTATATAATATATTATATATGGTACAAAGTCAAGCCGGAAAATAGAAAATCATTATATTGTATTATATGGGGGCTAGGGAACTCCCCACTAGGCCGCATTATTAACTGAAAATTTAAATTAAATCTCAATTATGTAAAGATAGCCTACTTAGATATATTATCTAATATATTGACCGATATTTTTGTTATAAAGTCTGAGATGATCATATTCGATATCTAAGCGCTTGAAAAGTTATAACCCACTTTTTAGAAAAAAAGGGTCACATCTTAAAAGAACTATTTCTGGGGAGGTTTATTTCGATAACTTCCTATTGGTAGGAAGTAAGCGCGGCTGTGGTCCGATATTTAATTTGTTCTTTACAATTTAAATGAACCATTGTGTCCAAAGCAACAAGAATCAAGCAACCACTTTTATTGGTCAGAGACAAATTACATACTTTTTCAAGTTTTCCAATCATTTCTCTAGTAACTCGGTCGGTCTAACCATTATTTTGCTACCTCTTTTTGAAATCAAACGTTCAGGGATAAGTTAATACGACTGAAAACCGATTTTTAAGTAAAATGCTTTACTCAAACCTTTTACTGAGTTGAGATTTCAAACACATCTGTTTACATACTTGTGCAAGCATAAAATACGGCAACCTTATATTTATGTAATAGGATTATAGCATATTTGTTCACAAAATCTCACCAACAAAAGCCACAAAAGTAGGAAATAAAAAGTTGCAAAAGAGCTCGAGAAGAATTATTTCTTACTGCGACGTATTAAAAACAAAACATTTAAATTAGTTGGATCATTTTATTAAATCTTTACAATTATCTTACCAAAAATTACAAACGGATTAAATAACTGGAGAATGCAGCCAAATATCTATTTGGGGTATATTACTTCTTATATTTAGTCACTGCTACTTTCAACAATTAAAACTTAAATATGGGCTTAGGATTTTCTTTTTTCTTCGTCTTCAGGTTCATAAATTTTTTGTTGATCGTTTCATCATGAAATCGATTGTAGTTCTGCTTCAAACATAAACAGGTTAAGATACCGAATTAGTGCACAACTCATTTACTCACCCCAAGGCAGTGACCGCTATGATGCCATCCTCTACAAGATACCCGAAATATTATGGCCCTTAAACCTGAATCTTTATTAAAATTGTTATTAATAAAAATATCTGAGGTAGCAATAAAACAACAGCAGCTAAAAAATATGATCGATGCGAAAGAAAAAAATTTCATTTTGTGTGATGATATGATGAATTACGAAACGATACTGTTTCCGCAAATCTTGTATTTATTACTGTGCAGAGTACCACCGGATTTTTGTGAAAGTAATTGTCAGCTGATAATGAAAGAATTGTGGTATGTCTGTATGTATAGTTTAAATGAAATATTCGATAACACTAAAACTGTATAAAGTAAACACAAATAAGGATGACCATGTGCGTGCGGAATCGATCATTAAATATTTTTGTAAGTGGTATGAATGTTAAGAGCGAGAAATATTTTCTGGAAAAAGTGTATAATTAACATGGTTGCCTTGTCATAATTTAATGGACAACTAATTATTCGAGATATCTACTTCAAAGTCAATTCGAGTTTTTGGTGATAACACTACATATATGTAGCAATATTCTGATGGAAACATTCTTTATACTCGTCGCTCAATGCTATCGTATTTTCGAAAAACTAATAAATAGAAGACAATCAATTTTCTGACTTTTCATTTAGTTAGAAGAAGTTATGTTGGAGAAAACTACCTCTATAAATTAGGCCAAGCGCCATGCTGCACAAATTTTATCACTTAAATTGTTCAATGAGACTGTATGTACTTTGAGGAATTTTAAATAATATCGTTTTATAGGAGAGGCATATTTAATACCAGAATCTCCCATACATTTTTTTCTTTTTGTTTATGAATTTAGATAGATAAAATTAAATATAAAAAAAATATAAAAAAATTGTTAATTAAAACCTCAAAGTTTATGTGAAAATGGTGTTAAAATAAATGTTAAGATATTTTCATTACGTACAACTTTGCTGTACAACTTTTTTCTTTTTTAGACTCAGAATCTATACAATTAATAATTTAAAAGTTCACCTTATTACTTCAAGACAGACATGACAAATCGTCTTATTATTTTGATTATTTTGATATACGAGTATGCTGCATCTATACTTTCTTTTGGTCTTGCAAACATTTGTTACTTATGCTTAATGTCGCATGTTGTGAGAGTACAGAAACAAATGAATCATCGGATAGTGAAAATCGTCGTAATCATGAATGAATTATGCAAATGTTACTTTGCTGCTTGTGCTGTTTCGTGCACATAAGTATACTCATAGAAGATTGCGACACTTTGTAGGGATATTATATAATTGTTGGCACAAGTAGGTACCCATATGAATCCGTTCCGATGCAGCATTTTTTGTTCCGACAACTCGTAGTTTATAGGAGAGCAAAAACTAGAAAAGGGCACCGATTTGCTCACGCTCAGGCAACACACTTTGTATTCTTTTCCGTAACAGTTCGCTGCTAGAAAATTTGCCATTGCTTTTCTGACTTTCAAATATTCATAACATAATAAACCGAAATCGTCCCATAATTGTTCAAGCCTTATGTACCGAATATGAGGATCTTTGCTCATATAGGTGACTTTATACTGAAAATATTGGCCAATTTGTGATACATATTAATCTACCTACATCTAGGCATCTTTTCCTAATAATAATTTCCTAATGATAATGAAGCCTGGTACCACAAATAGTCAAAATAGGTCCAGTACTGCTCCTAACCCATATATACATAGTATTTAAATGAAAATAAGGCAACATGAATATACCTATATGGTATCATACGCATATAATTCTTGCGAATTGCAAAAGTATCTGTGTTAAAAATCTTTTAAAAATGCAGCCTTAGAGTCGAGCTCAATCTCTACGTGCAATCGATTCAATAATTTTTTACCATGTTCGGGGTAGTCGATTACATGTAAATCCCACAGTCAGCCTAATGTTGAGTTTTCGTGCGCTTTGGAAACCTTTACCAGATAACCGATTGGACTCCATGGATCCATGTTTCACTTTCTGTCACAGATCCTCACAGAAACTCGTTCTTATTGTGTTTGATCCGTGCTTATGTGTTCCTTCCTTCGTGAAGCCAATGATATTAACTAATTCACTCTGTTTGATCATTTCAAGTTGATCACCCAACAAAATATCACGACTTGTCACAAAGTTTTCTACATAGCGTTAGTGCGCCTTGTAATTTTTCTGAACAGTGTACAATATTTTTTCCGGTACGATTACGGAGAAAGTCTGCAAAAAATGCATGATCGTTGAGTCTGGTGGGACGGAATTGCCATTGTTTTACACCAACTATATTTTTTCCCATCAGGAAATAATCAAGAATAAACACGTAATTCGCCTTGTAGAGTATTCTAGTTCAGGTTAGTACTGTACGTTAAGTTTATAGATTTACAGCCAATAGAGTATAATATAAAAATCAACTGCAGCAGCTGCACTATTGTATGTAAAGGGTGTTCTTTTTTAGACGTGTAGTTTTCAATGTGGTTATATTTCTTTCGGAATCGGTCTTTCAGACAGCTGTTAACATATTTGATTTATACTCAGTTTGAGTTGCTATTTCACACTTACTTCGGAAGAAGACCCAAATGAGTCCATTCGCCATGCGCGAAAAAAATCCACTTCATTGAAGATATTGAGGAAGGATCTTGGTTAGAGGCTTACAAAATCCAACCCGTGCAAGAGTTTAAGCCAATGCAAGACCATCAAGCGCGTCGCACGTTCGATGAATGGGCCCAAAATGAGATGGCCACCGATCCCGATTTTCACAAGAAAATTTTGTTCAGTGATGAAGCTCACTTTTAGTTCAATGGGTATGTTAATAAACAAAATTGTCTGATTTGGAGTGATGATAATCCCCAAGCCATTGTTGAGAAGCCAAATCCTTATAAAGTCACTGTTTGGTGTGCTCTATGGGCGGAATTAATCATTGGTCCAAATTTCTTCAAAAATGAAAACGGACTTATTGAAGCTCTGATAAATGACTTTTTCGTGTCCGAGATTTTTTGGAGGATATTGATGTGTATGACCTTTGGTTCCAACAAGATGACGCTACATACCACAGAGCCAACGAAGCAATCAATTTATTGAAGGAAGTTTTTGGTGAATGCATTATCTCGCGTCGTGGGCTTATGACAGTGCCTCCAAGATCGTGCGATTTAACCCCGATGGACTATTTTCTGTAGGTTTGCGTGAAATCACTTGCACGAGAGTGAAATCACTTACAGAGCAGCCCGAGACGATTGACGCCTCGAAATAATTTTTAATTATCTTTATAATAAAGCTAAACTCTTGCCTATAACATTGAATTATAATTCATTTCTTCTTGAAAATCACATATCTAAAGAAAACAACACTATTTATTTGCGTTATATTTACTTAGTATATATGTATATAGTATTGTGCAATTTTGAAAACGCTAATAATATAAAATTGTTAAAATAACAATCGCCTTGGTTGCACTTAACTATGTTCCTCAGGACGTGCAAGCACATGTCATAACAAACTGTTTTCATGTCCACTTCAAAAGGGCACGCCCCCTACTGGGACAGGGCAATCGAAGAAAACTAAAATTCTCTCAACTAAGTATAAGAGCTAAGTTGACATCACCACAAAAAAATTCTCACTTCATTAAGGAATAAATGCTTTATTTATGCACGCTTATCAGCACTTTATCAGAGATACTCTTCATTTTTAATTAATGGCGATACACATGCTGCTACGCGCTGGAAGAGCTTGAGCCACAAACACTACTTAGAATTAAATATGTAGGAGTAACAGTAAGCGCTGTCGAAAAGTTAACGCAATTTAATTTAGCGTAATAATTGAAAATCAAGAGCGCAAATGAGGGATTAAGGCTTAAGTGGATCTTCAAGCAGTTGTTGCTGTTAAGTATATTAAATAGTTTATGGGGGTCGTGTGAGGAAGTGCGGCGGGTAGCCTGCTGTGCCCATATCCGCAAAACAAGTACCAAACCAAATGTTGAAGCATGGAAAAGAGAAAATTATAAAGGAATCTTAATACAGAACAAAGAATTTTCACAGCCCGTTCCAGTTGTTGTCAAATATTTAGACTTTTGTTGTGTGCAGTAAACTCCTACAAGTGCATAGGCATGTCCCTGTACACAGCATTGTTGTGTTTGTACACATGATTATAAATGGTATACTTACATACGTAAATAGTTTATGGTCAATTTGTCGCCACTAACGACTTAATTCATTTCACAGACAGCGCGCCACCAATGTACTCTCACCACATCAAACTCGCATATCCACGGCTACTGTTGCTCAAATGATTAATTTTAAAAGCGGCACACTAACGGCACTACAACTATGCAGACGGCTGAGTGGTGGGAGGTGCAGAAGGAAATTTCTGAAATAAGAGATCAGCGATGATCATTAACTCATTAGTTAAAAAAAATGCGCACACACAAGTGCACATTCGTAAGCGTTGAAGACCGTTCGCTGAAAGTGGAAAACATTGAAAAGAACATCGCCATGAAGAGCGGACGCGCATTTCTATCGTTCTCCTACAATTAGTTGCCAACTAATTGTCCAGCAGTGTCAATTAACTGGACTGGAAGTGAAATTTTACAAAGCATTTTAAAATATGTGCAAAATAGTATACCTACATATACATATATTTAATGTATTGATAAATTTATACAGTTCACTAATTAATAAATAAAAACTGTGCTCACCAAACAAGTGGCTTCTTTATACATACAAATAGTTAAAATAGTGTATTATCATACTACTTCTTCTTAAATCATTCTTTTGAATAATGGATTACGAATTATTGCATTATCCGTTGGTGATGGATATGCTGTGTGAGCCTCAGAGTATTAGTCCTGCGCACTCGGATGTCTCCAACGGCAGCGAATCGGGAAGACCACGACAAGAAGTAAATGCACGGGAGCGTAGTCGTACACAAAGGTTGTGAGTTGAAAAAGTGTTGATTTGTTTGAAATTTAATTATAATCATTATCAAATATATTATATAATATAACTATTGGTAGAATATTTTAAAAATATATATACCACTGTGATCAAAGAGTGAGGTGAATTCGTTTATAAAATGTATATTCTTTATTTATTCTTCCAAATAAATTGCATGTCTTTCAAAGTAATCCTCCTCCGATAAAATGTACTTTTATCAACACTTTTTCCAGGCCTCGAAACATTCGGTACAGTCTTTTTCCGGTATTGCCTTCAAGACATACTTCGTTTTGGTTTTTTCTCCTTAATCGTGTCAAAACGTTGTACCCGCTCTGGCTTTCTGAGTTTGCTGAATAGCCAGAGGTCGCACGGAGTCAAATCAGGCGAATACGGCGGTTGCGGAAAAATATGAGTCGAGTTTTTGGCAAAAAAGTCGCAAAGAACGAGTGTGACGTAATGTTGGAACCAAGAGTTGTTCGTCCATATTTCCGACCGTTTCAGACGGATTGCTTGACGCATAACGCTCAAATATTATTTGTTGTTGTTTCTTTGTCAATCGAAGATTTTCAAGCACCAAACCTTTGAACCTCTAGCCTTGTTCATCACTTACAGTCCCAAATTTGCCGGAAAGAAATCGAGATGAGAGTTATTACATTACAGATATTTAAGTCTTTGTAACATTCCGGTTTATGATTTCCTAAAAAACTTTACACAACGTTCACAAAACAATTTTAGGCGAGTTTTTCCTGATCGTTCAGTTTTTCTTCCAAGCTCTTACTTATTCTTTATCAGTTTACATATTTTTTGACTTACAAATATTCACTCTTTAATTTTTGATTCGCTTAGAACAAGTTCCGGAGTAGAATCCTGATTTTCTGATCGATTTCGTTCTAACAAAAACTGTCGGGGTCGTAAGAACACTTTCGTGGCATGTTTACGATCTAACAAACGTATATGATATTTGATGTAAGTTTGTCGAATGCAATAGTTATACAGTTGTATAAATGAATTATTTTTATAAAAAGACACGTATATAACGTCAGAAATGAATATGTAGCTGTCACAAAAAAACTCGACGTGATTCAAACAAAATTACTATATATTCTTAATTGGGATGGTACACCAACGTAAACAAAAATCATCAAAAAGTTCGTGCGACAAAAACAGTGTTTACCAGTGTAATTACCAAGGCAGGAAATGCGCTACACTGTACCGTAGTAATTGATACCGAAATCTCAACCAAGTTTGCTTAGATTCTTTGGTATTGTCCCAATTTTCTCATGAAGCTTGGGTGTATTCCTGCCATTGTCATACTGTTAGAGCATAACTAAGTCCTTAGCATGGGCGCAGTTATCTGCCAAACGATCAAAATAAGTACGCGCAATGTTTAGATAAAATCCTTACCTTATTAGGTAAAAAAGTTTCCTCCAGTGGCGGCAGCAATATTGTTTACTAAAAATGTTTAAACTTTTATTCGTTTACATTACAGTTTCCAATAATCTGGGGATCAATTAATGTAAGAGTATGTATATGTTATCCAGAGAACTTCAAAAGGTGCCTTTATGTCGCTCACTTACAATACTGGATCTTTTTCTCTGAGTTGTATCCAATGTAATGTTCACAAACCATCACTTTACGAAATTCCTCTGTATAATTGATTCAAAATACTTCAAAATAGTTTTAAATAAACAATTGTTCTAACAGTTTGAAGCCTAACCTTAAGACATTTTATAGTATTCTTATATTTTATTATTATTTTGAATAACTTACACATATTTTTTGTCCTTAATGCAGACATTTTGATCTATTTTTAGAAACCCATTAACATTAATTGTCAAATTAACTCTTGTCGAAAAGCTTCGCTATAGGAATTTGTTAATGTAATCTTTAAAGATTAGGGTACAATTGGGAATGAATTAGTCTCCAACAGATAGCTTTAGGACACTATCTGAAGATATGTTGTGGAGACCAATTAATTCCCAATTGTATCCTATATCTCTATAAGGTATTGATAAGCCCCAAACGAACATCTTCATGGTATAGTTGTAAATAAATTAAATTTCCCTTCAATGCGATTATAGACAAACCTTATTTGGTACGATTTTTTTTTATGATTCGACCTACTATCGCAGACACTTCCCGAACTTGTCCCATTTTTGTACATACAAAAGCAAAATTTCTTTAAAATATTATTATTTATTTAACTGATATTGTTTATAAAATATTTCTAGTGTTAATTCCGCCTTTACAACGCTGCGCAGCTTGATACCTACCGAACCGTGTGATCGTAAATTATCAAAGATCGAAATACTACGCCTGGCTAAGAGTTACATAGCGCATCTAGACGCTGTTATAGTGACAGGCACGTAACGAAATCGTATATGGCACTTGAAAATAAACTAAAACTTAAAAAAATAGTAAAATTTAATAAAATATTCAAACATATTTTACAGGCAATAGCGACAGACCGTGTGCAAATTATTCCAGTCAATATCGCTGCGAAAATATGATTTCAAGCGACAAACCTAGATCAACTATCTGCACATTTTGCGCAACGTTAGGCGCAAATAAAAGTTAGTCGGACGGAGCAGTTTTAAGGTGCACATACGAAGTAAATATGTATAAATATACTTGCATTCGTTATAAAATTGCTTGTATATACATGTATCACTCATTTGGTATATATGTACATATATGTATACACAGATGTACTGTATAGTGCAGTGATTCTGAGCTTATGTTACCATTCGTTTATTTGTATGATATTATTATTATAATTTATAACGGACAAAATAATAATACTAAAGTGGAACTTAATTATACTGTCAAAAAAAAAATAGTAATGATAAAGCGAACAAGGCGTAAAGAGGATAACGAATAGTTTGACAGCATATATTCATTCTACCTATTAGAATTTGGCCAAAGAAGGTAAAATATAAACAAAATAAATGAAAATTTTTTAATTGCAATACTGTTTGCTTTATTAAGGAACTGTTGTACATATGTAGATTTTTTGAGAACTAAATAATACATTATATATATGTAAATATTTAAGTCCTTTTTTATGCATTAGTAACTCAACTCCAAGGCACTAAATCATCATTATCAAGTTGGGCAAAATCCTTTTCTGCTGTTGCCTGCATTGGCTGGACTTTCGATGAATTTTCAGCATTAGAAGCGCTTTAAACAAATAATTTTTATAAATATATATGTATAATTAAAGAGCATGTGTCTTACTTGTTGAAATTGTAACACTTATCCCCAAAATCACTTGCAACTTCTTCAATTAGCATACTTTTATCTGTTAATTTATCAACAGTGTAATCCTTCGATTTTTCTGAAATATCAACACTTTCCAATGCTGCAACATAAGCAACAATATATGCATATTAAAATAAGAATTAAACTTATTCTTGATACCTTCCGATTTTGTGTCATCAATTAGCTGCGTCAACTTAGATGCATTAGCCTTTTCAGCATGCTGTTGGTTCATGTGCTTATTGAGATTTGCTTGACGCACAAAGCGGCTGGGACACAACTGACAGGAATATGGTTTATCGCCCGTATGACTAAGTAAATGCGTATTCAAATCGGTTTGACGTGCGTATTTTTTATCACAGTGCGAGCATTGTATAGTTTTGTCCATATGATTAAGCTTCATGTGCGTTGTCATCGACGAGTGCTGTATGAAGCGTTTACCGCATATATCACAACCATATGGACGTTCGCCTGTGTGGCGACGCTGGTGGCTTTTCAGCGTAGTTGGTCGCAGAAAACGATCACCGCAAAACTTACACTCATATGGCCTTTCGCCAGTATGTGTACGTATATGATGTTTGAGCGCATAAATTGTGGAGTATGCTTTTGCTGTAATATATTGTGTTTAGTATAGAAATAAACTAAAGAGAAAACTTAACCTACGACACATTGTACAGAGGTAGTCCTTTTCACCAGTGTGCATTACCATGTGGTAGCGCAACTTGGAAGCCGATATCATATGTTTACCGCATACATGGCACGGAAACATACGTTTTGGTTTGGGTTCTTTCCATTTACGCGGTTTTTCATGTGATTGTTGTTCTTCTTTTGCTTCTTCGGCTGCAGGTGTTTCACCATCGTTAGTTGGTTTCAAAATCGAGTCTTCACAGTCTTCATTAATAACTGTTTTTGGTGCTTTACGTAGTTTATTTCGTCCACGTTTCTTCTTTGTTATGCTACTTTTCGCTAAATGAACTTCCATGTGAGCTTTCAGACCAGCTGCAGTAAAATACCGTTGTTCACAAATGGCACATTTGATTCGTCCTAAAATATCAGAATAACAATTATAAATCAGTATTTTTCCACAAATGCCTCGTATTATATGAAGAAGTAGGAAAATTAATAAATACTGCAACCTTTGGGAAAAATTTGTGCTTCTGGCGAAAACATTGAATCAGTAACGTTTTCTTTAGTTGTATTTTCTTCAGTAATGAACTCGTCATCGTCATCCAATGAACGCTGATCATGTTCAAAAAAGTTCACAACTTCAGTTTGGTTGCAACCTTTAGCAGCTGAAATTCAGTTTTATTATATTTATATTTTAATGATTATGATTATATTCCAAACGTTTACTCAAAAGTAATTTTAGAGGTTTTTCGTCTTCGCTGTCATAAATGAAGTCAGAGAAGGTATGAGATAAGGTGGGCGATTCCGCTTTATTTTTAGTTGGTTCGATTTCAGCTTTTACTTCCTTATGGATTATAAAATTATATATTGCTTTTGTATGCGAAAACACAATATTTTTAAGATTACCAACGTCTGTACTAACATTGTCACTGTCTGACTCCTCCAGCGGATCTTTGTTACAGTTTATGATTTGCGTACTACATGCATCAATTATAACGGCATCTGCAAGAGTATAACCCAACATTTCATTGTTATCGGGTAACTCAAATTCGGATGGTGATGGCACCCGTCGTGCATTTTCTTCCCTTTGTGCTGTTATCTGAATAAGGAGTGATTCAACGCTTTTCTTTGCTTTGATATAAAAATCATAGGCATATTGAAGGTCGCCTAGAAAATATTATACAATATTATATTAGTTATTAACTTTAAATTATTACGGATTGCTACTTGGTAAACTCACGACTGCAGCTATTACACAGCCACTCGGGTAAGCCATCCACGCCAATTTCAACTTCCAGCTGCGTACAATTCTTGTAGGCCTCGGCATATGAAACAGTTTCCTGTTCCACGTCCACTTGAAAAACTTCTAATAGTGAAACATGTCTGCTTTTACATTTCCTCAAACAGACTCGACAAATTAGTTGTATATTCTTTGACATATTTCAGTATAATACTAAATTCTTTCACCATCACCTACCCATTATCTCAGTTTTTTCGATGGATTTGGAGATAAATCTTTTATTTACGAAAAATAAGCTTAGGCAAACAAAACATATTAAATTAAAATCCAAAAACAAAATAAAAGAGGTAATTTGCTTTTTTTCATTATACATTTGTTGACATTTAAAGAATGTATGTTTTTTTTTGTGCACAGTTGTCATAACTGTGGTTGTAGTCCTAACTAACTATTCCCAATGAACAACGTCAGGATTGCCAATTTCAAATTGATATATAGAACAATAATAAGCCGAATAAAGAAACTTTTGTTAGCACGATTAAAAAGTAACAACGTTGACTCGCAACAACTTATTTTTACTATAAAAATCGAATTAATTGGTTCGTTATTTTTGTGAAATCCAATATTTAGTGTCGATAATAGTCTTTGAGAAACTAACAATATGCTAAATTAATTATTTGTAAATCAAACCTAAGTATTGTTTAATAAACAATTTTAATGCCTAAAATCTCAATTTATAAGCAATACTATAATACTATACTATGTTCGGAATATCTAATATTAATTTTTATTTGTTATAATCGTCATAAATACAGTTTATTCGCAAAATAACATTTTTATAAACACCTATCAAATCACTGATTAATTACCCAACACGGCTACTGAACGTTTAACATACGAGTTTTTTCGGTTTGTTTGACAGCGCATATTTTAACAACGAAGTTGAACGTTTTGGTGTCTATGTTTCACTCTAATAAACACGACAAAAATTGCTTGGCAAAGTGTAAAATAATGAGAGTTGCCCAAAATTTTGCTTTGCTTTGCCGCCTCGATGTGAACGAAGTCTTAAGCAATTCTTCTAAAGTATTGGGATTTCGGTAGCCGTTACTGACTGGACAGTAAATAATAAATTTTAGCCTAGGAACAGTTGCTTAAATATGTCTATACGGCATCACTCATTTATGAAGATATTACAAACAGGTGGCAGCTGTAGTATGACTGAAAACAGCTGTTTATTCCGTTGTGATTTCGTCCCGCATCCTGTTAATATTTAGCGTATTGTGCAAAACTCTAAAATACTATTAAACGTTCTATAATAGCAAAGATAAAACTATATTCTAAGCATATAAGTATATAAGATTTAAATATGCCGAAAGTGCGTCGAAGTCGAAAGCCTCCCCCAGATGGTTGGGAGCTGATCGAACCGACGCTGGAAGAATTGGAACAAAAAATGCGTGAAGGTATATATTTCTATCGTTTAACATCAATTTGTTAATTTTGTGTTATTTCTTCTTAGCTGAGACGGAACCTCATGAAGGGAAACGTATCACAGAATCATTATGGCCCATCTTCAAAATACATCATCAAAAGTCTCGCTACATCTATGACTTGTTTTATAGACGTAAAGCTATCAGCCGAGAGCTGTACGATTATTGTTTAAAAGAGAAAATAGCAGATGCGAATTTAATTGCGAAATGGAAAAAATCAGGCTATGAGAATCTATGCTGTCTGCGTTGCATACAAACTCGTGATACAAACTTCGGTACAAATTGCATATGCCGAGTACCAAAATCGAAATTAGAGGAAGGGCGAATTGTTGAATGCGTGCATTGTGGTTGCCGAGGTTGTTCGGGCTAGTAAAAAAAATACTAAGATTTTTAGTTGATAGTACATAAAATAAAGAATGTGTCAAGGTAAAATATTAATAAATAAAGGACTTATTTTTGAAGAAATTAATGTTGCAGAAAGTTTTCTATATAAGATGATTTAATTATTGGCTTAACCCATAATTGTATACCTCTACAACTCTCCTCCATCGTAGTCGTTTATAATTTCGGGTATTGTGGAGGCTATATTTCAATTACTATGGGAACGTTAAAGTTTTGTGCGGCTTGTACAGTTAAATGCATAAAATTAAAGGCTAAATAATCTAATTATCGTATATGACCGCGATATTGCATCATTATATTCAAAAATTAATATTGCCAATGATACGATGGTTCTGAGATGAACTCGATACCATCGGTAGTATTGTTCGTGTGATTATTTTGTAGGTGCTCTTAGTACATTATTCATGTTCTCTTTGTCTTGGTAGTTCTTTTTAGGTTATATGGGACTTCTTTGCCGTCGTTTCTGACCTGATCTGTATTTTTAAGAGCAACCAGTGCTAAATTGAAAATATCTGTAAGTTAATTTACTCCCGCTGGTCCAACATATATGAATATCTTATAGGGTCCCCGACATTTCCTTCTGCGTGACACAAATTTCGTGGTTAACTTAATATACCCTGTTCAGGGTAGAATAAGATTTTTCTATTATCAAATTGATTATGCGGAAAGATTTGATATTTTCCTGGTATAAGGCGTCGGGTTCATTGCATATTAGCATATGCTCACTAATATAGTCGCAAAAAACTAATAGAATGCATATGAAGAAAGCATATTTCAGAAGCCGCCATTAAGAACTGTTAACTAATTTCAAAGCATAATCGGATTCAACATCGGCTACTATATGCTTCCATATATAAAGCTCCAAAATTCATAATAATTTTATGTAAGTAAGACAATTCAAAAATAAAGAAATATATAAATTTGGTAAGTTTTTATTCCACATTTACATAAGTATTGTATATAAGATCAAATGATATTCTGAAATTTATATATTAATAAATATAAATGAAAAGTTCAAACACCCTAACTCCTTTCCGTGGTATGTTGCCGCAACCAATACGCCAGCTGTTACGAATTAATACCAGCTGTAGTATACTTATATAAGTACGTAATGCTTTAACTTAAAACTTAATTACCAATCCAAAAGCCTTTTGCATTTTACGCTCTAATTTAATTTTAATGCCATCGCGAAACAGCACAGACAACTGATGAGCAAATATACCGACTCACTTAGTCTCCCGTCTGAATCTGCAAAGAGCTTTTGTGCAAATACCGCATAAAATCTCCTCGAATCCACTGTCGTGTTAGGCAAACAACGAAATTTTCATGTTAAAATTTTCATTGCTCAGAAATACATGATTTTCAGCATCAAATAATCAGTTTTCCCCACCAATTAATTCCACGTATAATGACCATCGCGTAATACGAGCTTTATTGCGCCCACAATTTTCGATTTAAAACTACTCGCACAGACATACCCTGTAGAGAAATGCAATTAATTGGGAGTCGCTTAATTCTAAAGCACCAAGCAGTAATACAATTTGTGGTCTTTCTCTTCTCCATGATCGTTTTGGTATCCTAGGATGGGTTACTGATCAGTCTTATCATATTTTGCTACAGTTCCTATTTATGTAGATCGATGCGGCCAAAAATTTGAATAGAACGAAAGTACAATAAATTTGCAAAGCTAAATAATAAAAAAATATGCTTTTTTTTAAATTTTCTTATCGAAATTATATATTTTATAGCAAAACATTTTTAAAATTTATAAATACTCTGTGTAATTCTTCAAATTGCCCTACTTTTTGAACTAAACATTTGCCTTTCTAGTTTCATGCAGGGAACATAATTTCGTTCACACACTTACGTTTATTTTATCTAACTAGTTGGCTCTATGCGTTGGCGCCTGTAAATATGCTAACATCAGCGTAATTAAAAATCCATTTATAATCATTCTTCCAACCCCTATACCCCACAGTCCGTGTATTTGGTTTCTGCTATGTTAAGTTATTTGTTCAATGATCATCGCGACTTGTTATGAGGTTGTTGCCGAGCAAATTTAGGTGGTTCTGATTCTTTGCTGTCAAATACTGACCTTAAGCAATTTTAATGAAGCTGTCGTCGGTTATTTAAGTTTGTGCATTAACATATATTTTCCATGCTGCAGGACTTGCGAATTTTGGCGTCCACTAGGTCAACGGGGTTGTTAAACACACGCATGTGCATAATATACACGCTTTAATATTAAATTTAGTTATTAGATGGGTTCAACTAGTAAAGCAAACAACCAAGAAAGGGCAAAGTTTGGGCGTATCGTAATTTTCGCGCAATTTGTGAGATGGGATCTGTGAAATATTTATAGAAGTCTGTAGAATTTTATTAACCAAATTGTTATAAACAAGAAAAAACGTTAGCTTCGGCCACAACACCGAACTATAATTTCCTTTACAAATAAAAGAGATTCCTTACAAGCACTTGATTTCGTTCGTTCAGTTTATATAACAGCTGTATGCTATAGTGATCCTATCTCAACAATTTCTTTGGAGATTGCAGCATTGCCTTAGAGCTCATCATGCTGATAAGTTTTATATACATTTTAAAGGGTATCCGACGTTACTTTCTAGGCTTTACAAACATCGTAGCAAAATTAATATACCCTGTTTAGGGTATAAAAATATATCGTATAAAATCAGTATTCCTTATTTATTAAAATTGTGAGCCGATAGCGTATATTTTTGGAGTTGAAATAACCATATTCTAGAAGTTATAACTCGAAATGTTTACTGAAAAGTTAAGACGAAAAAATTCCTTTGTTAAATAGATCATACCGGATCTGAAGATGGCCCACTTATGTATGTAGCTAAAAATCAAAATACGAGTATATGTTGCATGACGACTCTTCCACAATCTAACCAGAGCCAATGTGTTAAGATCACACACTAAGGCAAATGCAATATATTGAAATTGGGTACACGAATGTTTGAAAATTTTATTTTGATAAGTTAGAAAAGCGAATTAGATTGAATAGATTGATAGGTTGAAGTGTTTTCTTTCTTTATTATATAATATATATAATACCTGCAGTCTTTGTCGAATGAAAACATGTGTGTACGTTTGCATATGTAATAAATACAAAATTTCCAGAAAAGCAACTCATAACATCGAATTTTTTTTTTATATTTCCAATTCCCATATACCAATACTTATGTCGAGCAACCACTAAGTCAGAATGTGCGTTGAATTTTGTAAAAAATTGTATTAAATAAAAATTGTCTCAAACTATTCTGGCGATCAGTGAAAAATTTACCAATTTGCACGTAACAAAGTGCTACAAAGTGTCCAAAACTTTCTGTTGCAAGCCACGGCGCTGACGTGCAACGAATACGAAATTGTTGGGGTAGTGGCGTTGGCGTGTCAAGGTGAAAGCAGCTGCTGAAAACGATATGACATTGAATATTGAAATTCATGTTTTCTTATTATTTTCAATGTAAAATTGAATTGTATGCAAAAAAATAAAAGAATATGTATGCACAGAAAAGTGTCAAAAAGTCAAAGTTTTTGCTATCACTTTTCACAAGTTCGAATCCATGTGTTCACATCTCTATACCATATACATAATTATAAATATAGAATTTTTAAACAAAACTAAATTTTCCATTAATAGTTTTGCATAGTATAAGATCAAGAAACATTGGGGCTTTCTAATAAGGTGGTTTCTATAGACTTTTCAAAAGAGTAGGAAGTTTATTTCGGGAATATTACTATATTATATTTTTCACAACTCTGATGAGGATTCAACTTGAGTAACCTTCGTCCAAAAAATATGTCTGATGAATTACGTAAGGTTTGCGATATATGGTCGAATACATCAAAATGTTCAAGATTATTATTTTCGGATGACGGTAAAGGTTGAAATTACAATAATTGGCGTAGTTGCGTTCACTAACTAATTATACGCTGAACATATTGAAACTTGCCACGATGTTTTGAAAGCCAAAAGAAAACGTTATAAGCCACTTTTAGTTAGTGAACGCAACTACGCCAATTATTGTAATTTCAACCTTTACTTTATATATAAATGATCAGCATGACGAGCTTAGACAATTTAGCCATGTTCGTCTGTCTTTCCGTCTGTCTGTATATACGTGAACTAGTCTTTTAGTTGTACACGTCCTTTTCACACCAAGGCCAAGCTGCTCATTTATAGGAACTGCCGATATCGGAAAACTATAGTATATAGCTGCCATATGAACTGAACGATCGGAATCAAGTACTTGTATGGAAAACTTTTTTATTTCTTATTATTTAGGTATCTTAATTTAATTTGGCATAGATTATTATCAGAATAAAAATCTTTTTATACCATTTTATGCTATTATTCATCTGTGAAGGATATTATGGTTTCGGTGCAGTGGAAATTAACATTTTTTCCATATTTTTAAAGTTGTTTTTGTTATTAATGTACTAAACAAATGTAGTTTTTTATTCTTTTAATAATAATTCGTTTCGTACTAATGAGTATTTATTTTCTTATATTTTTCTATATTAACATAGAAATTAATCAATGCTCTTTAACCAATCTGTTATTTCGGACAGCCTGATACACGATACAATTTCAGTTTTCTAATCAGATATATACCTTCTGCTAAAAAATATAAACGAGACTGGCCACCTTTTTTTCCAATCTTCATAACACTTCTGGTAGGCCGCTTTAGGTATGGCTTTCAGTTCCTTCTTCGAATTCTCTTTTATGACTTCAATCGACTGAGAATGCTTTCCACGAAGCGGCAATTTGAGTTTAGGGAAAAGAAAAAAGTCACACGGTGCCATGTCGGGTGAATACGGTGCTTGCGGAACAATATTTACGTTGTTTTTGGTCAAATAATCGCGTACAAGACGAGACGTATGAGCTGGCGCATTATCATGATGTTGAAACCATGACTTGTTGTCCCACAAATCCTTCCTTTTGAGACGAATATTCTCACGCAAACGCATCAAAACGGATAAATAATATTCAGCATTAACGGATTGACCTTCTGGAAGGAATTCCGAGTGCACAACACCTTG